ACACACACACACACACACACACACACACACACACACACACACACACAGACACTGACACAGACACACACACCCTCTCTCTCACCCTTTGAAATTTTGTTAGGATGACCTTGCTTTGAAATGAGGCTGCCAAGGCCTTTACAGCAACCCTGTCTGTAGGTATAACTGTCATAAAACTCCAAGTCTCATAATATACTCAGACTTGTGAAAACTAATGCTTAGTTCTGCCTCCACTACCAAAGGAAAGGCCTGTGATTCTGTACTAAGTGGTCAGTTGAAGACATCTACTAGATTACAGCAATACCTTCTTTCAAGCAGTGAGTTTGTACATGGGGTACACAGTGTTACTAGATGAATGTAGAGGAAATATTCTAAGCTCCTTATAAATCACATTCCACAAATACCCAAATGAAGGATAAATGAAATCAAGAGTTCTATGTATGCTGCACAAGGAGGCTACAAAGTAAATTCATCTTCACAGAAAACGGCTGGCGACATGAATTTGGAGTGACTGCAGGAGACAATAGATAAATCTTATGATATAATGTGTGTACCTTTCTGGCAATTTTCTAATCAATGTAAGTCCCTATTAAATCCTACAAGGAACTTACTTTCCTGTCATATATCCTAGCCCCGACTTTGATGAGGGAAGTGTTTTTCTGGCCTTACATGAAGGAAATAATAACCCCTACCAGAACTTCTGAGATCACAAATAAATCATTCCACAGACAGATGTGTTTCTCTTTCCTTGGGCAGGTTGTATAGACAAAGCAAAGGTAAAGTAAGCAATGATCTCTGCTCCTTTATGAAATCACACTGGCTGATTGGTCTGATTGTGAAGCTTTATAGTGGCCTCAAATTTCACCACTAACCATGGGTCTTCCCCCAAGGCTGTGGCCTGGGCCCTCTTCTCTTCATACTCTGTACTGTCGCACTTGATGATCTCATCAGCTCCCATGGGTTCTGTGATCATCTCTGTGTAAATGATTTGCAGATCTATATATCTAGCCTCAATCTCTTTCCTGACCTCTGCTCCAATCTTGAATCACCAGCTGTCTCTTGGACATTTTGAATTTCATATCCTCTTGGCATCTCAAAGTCAACATGTCCAAAATTCATCTTCTTTTTCCCCAAATCCTCCCCTCTTCCTAACTTCCCTGTTACTATGAAGGGGCCCCACCATTTTTCCAGTCCCCCGGGCTCCGAACCTCCAATATCATCCTTGATTTTTATATTCACTCCACTTATATAGTCTAATATCAAGTCTTGACATTTCTACCTTTTACAACATTTATGGGGGTACATCTCCTCTCCTCTCCACCCCTACTGCCTGTACCATGGTTCATGCCCTCATGACCTCACATTTGGATTATTAATAGAACGCAGTAGCTTTCTGGTTGACTTACCAGAGCTGGACAGACATGGTTCTCAAGTCTCTCCCCATATCAGTTCATCTTCTACTCAGCTACAGAAGTGATTTTCCCAAAACATAGGTCTGATCATGCCGCTCCACTTTCCTACTCAGTAAATTCTAGTAATTCTCTGTTATATCCAGGATCAAATATAAATTTCTTTCTCTGGCATTATAGCTCTTCAGAACTTGGACTATTCCTGCCTTTCCAGCCTTCTTACACTTTACTTCCCTCCATACACTCTACTGTCTGACTTCATTGACCTTGTGGTTGGTGGCCAAAGACAGCACTTCACCTCTTGACTGTTAGTGTCTTTCCATTGGCTGTACCCCATGCCTAGAAAGCTTTTTCCCCTCACTTTCCCCTCCTGGCTTCACTGGGTTCCTTCAAGACATATTAAATCCCTCTTGTTAAGAGGCCATTCATGGCCCTCCCACCTTCACTCTTTTGCTAATGCTTTCCCCTCTGATATTTCTCTCTGTCTCTCTCTCTCTCTGTCTCTGTCTCTCTCTGTCTCTCTCTCTCTCTCTCTCTCCTCCCCTCTCCCCCCCTCTTTTTCTCCCCCCCAACACACACACACATAACATACACCTATCTATATTTATAATCTTGCATGTACACAGTTGTTTGCATGTTGTCTTCCTAGAATGTGAGCTACTCAAGGACAGACGCCATGTTTTTACCTGTCTTTGTGTATCACAGTGCTTAAAACATTGTAGGTGCTTAATAAATGCTTATTGGTTGACTGACCAACTGTCGTACAAGTCCAGAGAATTATATGAGAGGAAAAACAATTTCCTGATTGGATGCAGAACTCTTATACTATACCCGTTAGTTAGCATGATTGGGGATTAGAAAAAAAATTAAATGTATATGACACTAAAACTAAACTTGAACATAAACTACTCTTTGATTCTGAAAGCAGTTGAAAGGGTCACTGTTATGAATTTCAGCTGTACATATATGATAGATCCACAGAAGTACTGGTTAATAGATGCTTCCAGGTTCATAGAAGTTGAAAATTTGTTTTTTTTACCCATGAAGGCCTTAATAAGAGACAATGTCACTACCTCACTGGGCTGAACAAAGGCCTAGGTTCCTTGGGTCTCTCAGTGATTAGTAAATTATTAAGTGTAAGAAGTCACAACCTACTGGGTAACATCTACATGGTCCCATCTGAATTAGAAAGACTTATGTCATGGTGTCAGCAAAAGTCATCTGTGGGCACCTCCAAAGCAGAGTAACTGTGACCCCACTCATAAGATACCGACAACTCTTACTTGGTCTTCATCTATGGATGGGGAGGCCCTAAGCTGAGGAGGGTGCAGGAAGGCATACTCTAGCATTGATCCCAAAGAAGGAACTTGTGAAACATCTCTGAAGATCCTTGTCTTCCCCAGGATACCTGATGATGCCTCCAGGCTTGTCTTCTCTGATCTAGAATAGTGATTAAATGTTGAGTTTTCCAGCTCTTCTTCTGAGGGTAAAGGCAGAGAGAGAGACAATGACCATGGCAGAAGCGGGGTTTTGAAAAGATTTTGTTTCTTCTTTGGCACTGTGGTGTTTGGACGGCAATTTGGGAGGGGCGGTCAGCCGTCACTCCCCTAAATGCCTCACAGCACCGTTAGGGAAATTATTGAGGAAATGTCTGACAACCTGTAAAAAACAGAAATGAACTAGCTTGTCCTTGCCAAAGTAAATCAGACCTTCTCAGCCCTGGCATTCAGGATCCCTTACGATATTACCCAAATTTACCATTCCATTTTCTTCCTTATATTAGAAGCCAAACAAAGGCAAAGGGGAGGTAAAGTGTAGGGCACAGCAAGTACTTACTTGCTTCCCTTCCCTTTACCACCTCTTTGCTTTTATAATCTTTCCTGTTCTTGGAATACCCCTCCCCTCATTCCTACCTATTAAAATCTCATAAATGCCAAGGGGCATCAAGTTGTAGTAAAGAGAATCCAAAAGACCTGAGATTGAATGCTGGCTCTGCTTTTACCTACCTGTGTGACCTTGGTGAAAACACTGACAGCTTTGCAGGACCTCAATTTTTTCTTTATCTGTTAAGTTGAGGGGTTGGACCAGAGGGTCTTGAAGTTTCTTTTCAGCTCTCAGTGCTGTCAGTATCCGCATACTTTGGTCAAATAATTTTTAAAATAACTGTGTTAACTGGGCCTTGGACATCTTTTGTTATGCAGAGCTTTTTGTTGCTACAGTATTGGCTGAGACAAAAGTCAGAGCCCACACTCAGTCTCTCCTTCCTGCTTGGGGAAATGAGGCATGTGTGACCTGCAGGCTCAGCTCCTTGGAGCAGAAGGACAGCCCAGCAATTTTATTGCTAGGCTGTCCTTGCCACTCTTAATGCTTTCACATTCCAGTCTGGTAGCAAAGAGAAAATCCAAACATTTGACCATTATCTTAGCTAACTCTCTTCAGGTGCTTTTGGAATATAGCCATCTCTGCTTTGTACCCCAGCAGCTGTGGAACAGCTGTATAGGAACCCTGCCCAACTATTTAAGACTCAAAGTGAGGAAAAACAGCGCATCCAATTGAGACTTCTAGGGGAATCTCTGGCCGAATGCAATCCCTTTACTTGGAGTTTTGCCAGGATGCTCTCCATTTCAGTTCCATGCATAGGGTAGTGATCCTTGCTGTTTGTGATTACATGGGAATCATGAAGTTGTTCAATATTACTTAAGAGTGCATTGAGACTTGGACCAAAGGTGCATCCTAAGCA